ATTACTCTAATTAGCTTTATTATTGTTATTGTTACTATGATAATACTTATCATCATCATTATTTCAAGTATGACTATCGTCATCATTATTCTAATCGTTCATTCGATTGCTATCATTATCACTATTCCCATTATCATTTTAATTATAATTTCTGTTATCTGCTGTATCTTTGTTATTATTATCATCTTTATCATCATTATTTTAATTAAAATTATCCTTAAGAGCTTCATACCTATCATCGCTATGAATATTATAATTTCTATTGTCATTATGATTATTATTATCAATGTTATAACTATTATTAGCATTACTTTTATCATTATCATTAAAACTATAATAAGCATTATTATAATTATCATTATCACCACCATAACCAGCATTGTTACCATTATTATTTTTGGAATAATCGTTCTGATCATAATTATTGTAATTAAAGGCATTAATATGGCTATAATAACGATGTTTATAATCGTCATCCTTATTATTATCCTTATCAATGTCGTCAGTTTTGGTATTATTATTTTAAACATTATTATTGCGATCGTTGTCATTATCATCGATGATATTAAAATGACCATTATCTTTATCCTTGTCAATATTGTTATCGTCATTATTATCAGTAGCATCATTACCATTATCATTATCATTATTTTTATTATTATTGTTATCAGCATTATTATGGAAAGCGACATTCTGGTAGTTGTTTTTATTGTCATTACGATAATTTTTTGTATTGTTGTTTGTACTATCATTGTTAACATAATTACGGTTAATATAGTCATCATCATCATTATCGTAATCAATGACATTATCATCATCTTCAGCGTCATCATTATCGTCAACATTATTATCATAAGCATTAAAGTAATTATTATTTTCATTCTAAGTAACGTAATTGTAATTATTATCTTACCAAGTATTAACGTCGTTATCATAGTTATTATTATAATCTTGATTATTATCATTATTGTTACTGTTTATTTTTGCGACAATGCCAGCTATAAATTCTTAATTAAATAGCCAATTGCGTTTCACGATATCGACTTTTATGCCACCGGATCAAAGAATTGCCTTTACAGCGTCAAAAGCGTTTCTTCGAGGGCTTGACAAAATCTTGCAAGAAAGTCGAAAATATGAAATAATCACGCACTTGTTTCGTTCAACTTTTAAAACCAGATTTATTAACAAACAGATAACAATAAATATAAACTTAATAATATAACATAAATATGTGTGCTTGCTTGCTTGTTTAAGAACAGAATAAAAGAAACAACTAAAAGTATTAACAAGATGAATTAATGAGAAGAAAAAAAACAATAAGACAGAACAATCTGTGAGCTAAGCGAGACTCAGTAAGTTCGACGTTAGAAGTCGCAAATGGTCGTTAATGACGCAACTATGGTTTGCTGAGCGATTGATTTGCTCAAGAGACGAAGCCTTATTGCTCGTGCCTGTGAGCGAGAAAAGCCAGTATAGCCGAAATTTTACTTGCTGGTAAATTTACATGTAAGTGTAATAGCTTGTTCATAGATGTGACGTCTAAGAATGTGTTTGAGTTCGGCCGTACTTTCTCGCAACCAGCAGCAGCAGCTTCGGGTTCTTTGCTTACATTTTAAAAACGCGTTCTCGTGAAAATACCGCTCGCCTTGCTGTATCACAGCAAATAAATTATTAAAAAATTTAAGTTTTTATATGTTTGCAACTCGAAACAAAAAGAAAAAATTAATATAAAGTTCACGAAAAAGAAAAAAAAAGTAAAACTGAAATTTCTCTTTTATGCTAGGGCAAGACAGGCGAATCAGGATCGCTCATCCTCTTACACTATGTAATTGAGTTTTACAAAAGTAAGAAATACATAACGAATCTTTGATTAGAAAAAAAATTGTTTGAAAAGAGAAAAAAATCGATACTAGTACATTTTTTTAAATTATTAAAATGTCAATTTCTTGTTGAATTTGCTGAAATCACTTCACATGGATTGTTAAGAAGTTGTGTTCGTGAATTGTAGCTGCTGGTAGGTATCATTAACGTCCGTGTCGACTAGAAGCTTTATTAGCTTAACGATAGGGTGTACAAAACTACTATCAGCCGTCTTGACCGTGACTGCTCTGACGAGTCCGTCCTTACCAGGATGGAGCATTGTGGCTCTTCCAAGTGGCCACTTCGTTGGCGGAGTAAGATTATCCCTTAACAGTACAATATCATCTATTTGTAAATTGGGTTAAAGATGTAACCACTTGTTACGTTGCTGAAGTAAGTAAAACCTCGCCTCTCAAACGTTTCCAGAAAGAGTTGCACATTTGGCATCGCAAATTTCAGCGATTACTAGTGCTTAACTGCAACAATTTTTCAACTTCTTCTGGATGTGAGAGGCACGATGAACCAATGAGAAAGTGCCCTGGTGTTGAAGCTGTTAGTTCGGTGGGCTCTGTACTCAATGGGGATAGAGGGCGAGAGTTTAGACAAGCTTCAACTTTAGCTGCCAGCGTAGAAAGCTCTTTAAAAGTAAGCTTGGATTAGCCGATTACTCTTTTGAAGTGATACTTGAAGCTGCGTACTGCAGCCTCCCATAGGCCGCCATAGTGGGGCGCTCGTGGCGGAATAAACTTCCATGTTGTGCCTCTAGTTACAAGTTGACCAGCGACCGTTTTGTTGAACTTAGAGATCTCAGAGAACATGCGGGTGAGCTCCACCGATGTCCTTTTAAATGTTGTTGCGTTGTCTGAGTAGATCGTGTCGCAGACTCCTCGTCGAGCTGTGAAGCGATCATACAAACTCACTAATCTCTTGCCAAAAGTCGAAGTTGATCAAAATCAATGGTCCCATGCGAAAAGTTTCAACNGGGCGCTCGTGGCGGAATAAACTTCCATGTTGTGCCTCTAGTTACAAGTTGACCAGCGACCGTTTTGTTGAACTTAGAGATCTCAGAGAACATGCGGGTGAGCTCCACCGATGACCTTTTAAATGTTGTTGCGTTGTCTGAGTAGATCGTGTCGCAGACTTCTCGTCGAGCTGTGAAGCGATCATACAAACTCACTAATCTCTTGCCAAAAGTCGAAGTTGATCAAAATCAATGGTCCCATGCGAAAAGTTTCAACCTGGCCGATTCTTTATTCTTTAAGCCAAGTAAAATTGATTGCATCCTCGGCGCAGATGTTTATTCAATAATCATCATTGATGGCTTAGTAAAAGGTCTAGCGGGAACCCCAATAGCTCAGAATTCTGTGTTTGGATGGATTCTTACAGGAGCTTCTGCGAATAGTCAATCGTGTCATCATTTTTCAGTTAAGGTGTTCCACACATACACTGAACCCTCTCTCGATAAATTCATGGAGAAATTCTGGGAGATAGAGTAGGTCTCTCAAGAAAGACACCTTACCCCAGAAGAGCAATTTCGTGAAGATTACTTCTCTCTTACTTACACTCGTAACCCTCAACGTCGTTTAACTGCCATTTTTTAAGCAAGTCTCGTTTTCTGGTTTGCGAGATATAGCCGTAGCTTGTCTCTTTTGCTCTGAAAAGCGTCTAAACAAAAATCTTCTCCTCGCCGACAAGTACAAGGCTTTTATGCAGTGGTACTTGGATTCAAAGCACATGGAATTAGTCCCGTTAAATCTAATTTCACGTGAAGCTTACTACATGCCTTATCATGCAGTTTTTAGACAAGATAAGCCTGAAAAAATCAGGGTAGTATTCAATGCTTCCCAAAATGGTGTAAGTAAATTTTCGCTTAATGATGCACTGTCTCCAGGTCCAAAACTTCAAGCGGACATCATAATCGTCTTAACTCGATGGCGATTTCAATAATTAGTTTTTGTTACTGATTTTATCAAAATGTTTCGACAGATTCTGATTCATCCTGATGATGCAGACTGGCAGCGCCTCGTGTGGCGACCCTCAGTTGTGCAGCCTTTGCAGGATTATAGAGCGCTTACCATCACCTACGGCACGGCTCCAGCACCTTATTTGGCTCTTCGAATACTCAAACAGCTGGCTCAGGACGGCCATACGATGCATCCGGAGGCATCCAAGCTTCTGGACCATCAAATCTACGTGGACGACATATTCGGAGGCGTGGACGAGGTCGACTTAGCTATCGAACGACGTGATCAGCTGATCCAGCTTATGGCATCAGCAGGGATGTAGTTGGGTAAATGGTCAGCAAATAATCAAAGTCTTCTTGATGGAGATGTAGCTGGCAACATTGATGAGGTCCTCGTCAACGTGGATGAAGTGGTATCAACGCTAGGTCTCAAGTGGCTTCCTCAAGCAGATAATTTTATTTTGGTCCATTAGGTTGGCTTGCACCGGTCATCGTAACTACAAAAATCATGATGCAGGATCTATGGATCAATAAATTCGATTGGGACGTACTGATTTGAGGAGATTTCTTGCAGCAGTAAATGTAGTTCCGTAACTCCCTGACAAAATTAGACGTCATTAAAGTGCCCAGATGGATAGGTTGTTCTGAAACATTTTCTTGGCAGCTTCACGGTTTTGCTGACGCTTCAAAGCGTGCCTACACTGCAGCAGTCTACGCTGTAGTTCCTGGTCAATCTTCGGTTCTTCTTATGGCCAAAACAAAGGTCGCTCCAACAAAAATGGAGACTCTTCCTCGGTTGGAGCTCTGTGGAGCACTGTTGCTTGTTTGCCTAACTAAGCACCTGCTACCTAAGCTGCATCGACAACCACAGTACATTCACTTCTGGTCCGACTCCAAAGTCGTGCTAAATTGGTTAAAAGGTCATCCATCAAGATAGCAAACCTTCATCGCCAATCAAGTAAGCGAAATTACATCTTTGTATCCACAAGCTGAGTGGCGACATGTAATGTCCTCGTACAATGCTGCCGACTGCGCAACTCGAGGACTTACACCTCAGCAACTTTCCGATCATAGCCTGTGGTGGTCAGGACCCATATGGATAACGTCACCACAATCGACATAGCCTTCAACAACAGATGATGATTACGCTGATCAACAGAACATTCAAGCATTGGTAATGCAGGAGGCAGCTTTACAAAAGCATGTTGACGACGACTGTCTGACATATCTGCAACGCTTCTCTAGTTTAGCTGAGATACGCCATTTCCTCGCCTATTGCGCGCGATGGATACTCAACGCTCGTCAGGTAACTGAGAAACGTCAATACACTTACCTATCAGCTCAAGAGCTTTCTTGGGCTTCTCCCTCTTCTTTTAGAGCACTACAATGTCGACATTTTCCCATTAAATTGGAGCAGCAACAGGCCAAAAACTCACTTTCCAAGCGAAGCAATTTGGTACGATTGGCACCCTACTTAGATGAGATTGGCCTCATTAGAGTTGGCGGCCGTTTAGAAAATGCTCCACTTTCATACAGTGAGCGACACCCTATCGTCCTGCCTGGCAATGACACAATCGTAAAGCAACTTGTCCAAGATAAACACATTAATACACTGCATGGAGGAGTACAACTCATGCTCTCAAAGTTGTACCGAACTGTGTGGATCACACGAGCCCATCAGCTCGTCACACGAGTCTACCGGACTTGCTACAAGTACATCAGACACAACCAGAGAAGGGGACATCAGCAGATGGCTGCACTACCAGCTCAAAGAGTTACTCCACTACGTCCATTCGCCATAACTGGGATAGACTACGCAGGGCCAATCCCAGTGCTTTTCTCCAAAGGTCGGGGTGCAAAAAGCGTGAAAGGTTACAAAGTGCTTTTTGTTTGCTTTGTAGTCAGAGCTATCCACATCAAAATCGTGTCTGATCTTACGACTGACGCATTCATGGCTGCGTATGATCGCTTGACAGCTCAACGAGGAGTCTGCGACACGATCTACTCAGACAACGCAACAACATTTAAAAGGTCATCGGTGGAGCTCACCCGCATGTTCTCTGAGACCTCTAAGTTCAACAAAACGGTCGCTGGTCAACTTGTAACTAGAGGCACAACATGGAAGTTTATTCCACCACGAGCGCCCCACTATGGTGGCCTATGGGAGGCTGCAGTACGCAGCTTCAAGTATCACTTCAAAAGAGTAATTGGCTAATCCAAGCTTACTTTTAAAGAGCTTTCTACGCTGGCAGCTAAAGTTGAAGCTTGTCTGAACTCTCGCCCTCTATCCGTATTAAGTACAGAGCTCACCGAACTAACAGCTTTAACACCAGGGCACTTTCTCATTGGTTCATCGTGCCTCTCACATCCAGAAGAAGTTGAAAAATTGTTGCAGTTAAGCACTAGTAATCGCTGAAATTTGCGATGCCGAATGCGCAACTCTTTCTGGAAACGTTGAAGAGGCGAGGTTTTACTTACTTCAGCAACGTAACAAGTGACATTTCTTACTTTTGTAAAACTAAATTACATAGTGTAAGAGGATGAGCGATCCTCATTCGCCTGTCTTGCCCAAGCATAAAAGAGAAATTTCAGTTTTACTTTTTTTTTCTTTTTCGTGAACTTTATATTAATTTTTTCTTTTTGTTTCGAGTTGCAAACATATAAAAACTTAAATTTTTTAATAATTTATTTGCTGTGATACAGCAAGGCGAGCGGTATTTTTACGAGAACGCGTTTTTAAAATGTAAGCAAAGAACCCGAAGCTGCTGCTGCTGGTTGCGAGAGAGTACGGCCGAACTCAAACACATTCTTAGACGTCATATCTATGAACAAGCTATTACACTTACATGTAAATTTACCAGCAAGTAAAATTTCGGCTATACTGGCTTTTTTCGCTCACAGGCACGAGCAATATGGCTTTGTCTCTTGAGCAAATCAATCGCTCAGCAAAGCATAGTTGCGTCGTTAACGACCATTTGCGACTTCTAACGTCGAACTTACTGAGTCTCGCTTAGCTCACAGATTGTTCTGTCTTATTGTTTTTTTTCTTCTCATTAATTCATCTTGTTAATACTTTTAGTTGTTTCTTTTATTCTGTTCTTAAACAAGCAAGCAAGCACACATATTTATGTTATACTATTAAGTTTATATTTATTGTTACCTGTTTGTTAATAAATCTGGTTTTAAAAGTTAAACGAAACAAGTGCGTGATTATTTTATATTTTCGACTTTCTTGCAAGATTTTGTCAAGCCCTCGAAGAAACGCTTTTGACGCTGTAAAGGCAATTCTTTGATCCGGCGGCATAAAAGTCGATATCGTGAAACGCAATTGGCTATTTTATTAAGAATTTATAGTTGGCATTGTCGCAAAAATAAACAGTAACAATAATGATAATAATCAAGATTATAATAATAACTATGATAACGACGTTAATGCTTGGTAAGATAATAATTACAATTACGTTACTTAGAATGAAAATAATAATTACTTTAATGCTTATGATAATAATGTTGACGATAATGATGACGCTGAAGATGATGATAATGTCATTGATTACGATAATGATGATGATGACTATATTAACCGTAATTATGTTAATAATGATAGTACAAACAACAATATAAGAAATTATCGTAATGACAATGAAAACGACTACCATAATGTCGCTTTCCATAATAATGCTGATAACAATAATAATGAAAATAATGATAATGATAATGGTAATGATGCTACTGATGATAATGACTATAACAATATTGACAAGGATAAAGATAATGGTCATTTTAATATCATCGATGATAATGACAACGATCGCAATAATAATGTTTAAAATAATTATACCAAAACTGACGACATTGATGAGGATAATAATAAGGATGACGATTATAAACATCGTTATTATAGCCATATTAATGCCTTTAATTACAATAATTATGATCAGAACGATTATTCCAAAAATAATAATGGTAACAATGCTGGTTATGGTGGTGATAATGATAATTATAATAATGCTTATTATAGTTTTAATGATAATGATAAAAGTAATGCTAATAATAGTTATAACATTGATAATAATAATCATAATGACAATAGAAATTATAATATTCATAGCGATGATAGGTATGAAGCTCTTAAGAATAATTTTAATTAAAATGATAATGATAAAGATGATAATAATAACAAAGATACAGCAGATAACAGAAATTATAATTAAAATGATAATGGGAATAGTGATAATGATAGCAATCGAATGAACGATTAGAATAATGATGACGATAGTCATACTTGAAATAATGATGATGATAAGTATTATCATAGTAACAATAACAATAATAAAGCTAATTAGAGTAATATGTAATAATATCGTAGTGGTTATAGTGTTGATAGTGACAGTGATAATGTTAATAAATTAAATAATTATAAATAAGCTACTGATAATAATAGTAACAACAAGAATAGTAACTATGGAAACGATTATAATGAATGATAACGATTATAATGATTACACTTTTAATGGTTATAAAGACAATTATCATAATAACAATTCTCAAGATGATAATAAAAATAATAATGATAATGACGATGATGATAAGATTAGTAATTAGAATAAAGATGCTAATAATAATTACACTAACCATGAGTAAAGTAATAATGGTAATGACAATAATGATGATGAGGTTACGAAAAGTTACAATAATGGTGTTTATAATGATAATGATAATTATAATGATTATAATAATATTAAAGATGGCAAAAGTGATATTGAAAATGATATTGATGACGACGATAATAATTAAATTAATCATGATGATAAAATTGACTGTACTTATGAATAAAATAATAAGGATGATAATGATTATAAAGATGATAATAATTATCATAATAATAGAAATTACCATAATTTTTAATAATGGTGATGTTTCTGATACTAATAAAGATGATAATGATAATCATAATGATGGCAATCATGGTGACGATAATAAGAATAAAAACGATAGTAATTATCATTATGGAGATGGTAATAATAATCATAATGCTGATGAAAACCAGGACGAGGATTATAATTACGATGAAGATGATGATCTTGATGGTGATAGTGATAATGATAACACTTTACTGAAGACAAACCCGCAAACTTAATTCCCGTGATAGCAAAAGGTCTAGCCAACTACAGTTGAAAAGCACGCAGGGGGCCATTCTTTGTTCTACAGGACGAGCTGCATGACTAGTTTAATAATCGCAACGATGAAAATAACGTTCTATAAACTATCAAACACAATTAATTGAGATATCTTCTGTTAAGAGAATTAACAAAGTGCATAATAATAAGATGACAGTCCTTAACCAGTTTATGAATAAGATTTTCTCTACCAAGCAAAATAACAGGACGTCTTACCTCTTGTGTCAATGGAGTATCATATAGACGATGATCAATTTTTATTAATGTGTCCGTGTTTAAAAATGATGATAAACGTATTAAGAACAAGTTAGATGGAAGGGAACGGTTCTTTAAAAGAAAGCCTATTTTCTGAGCCCAATAATGATGCTAAGCCATACAAAAAATTGCCGTTGAAGCCGATTGCCAAGACAACGCCGTCCTTGCAGAATTACCATTTTTTTACAGAAACGAATCCTTCTATGCCAACAAAATAATAAGGCAAAAATTTTCACCATCTTGAATAACTAAGATAACGTCTTAAAACATCTAATAAATAATTATTCTTACCCTCAAACGTATGAGGAACCACCTGCATGGCTATCACAGCATCAGCATTTAACAAATCACCTAACGACTTAGAATTTTCAGAAGAAAGAGCAATTATCCGCAGCCATGAAGGACTATGCAACCAAAGCTTAGAAGAAGCCAACTTAGAAGGATTCCTACCCCGCGTATCAAGGTCAGCAGGATTTTCTGCAGAGGACGCATAACTCCAAGCAACTAATAGAAAAGTAGTTAAGATCTTACTTACTTGATTTGCTACAACAATCGGCCAACGTTAAGTATATTTCTTGAGCCAGTCCAGAACAACTCGAGAATCAGATTAAAAAATCACTCCTGAAGGCTTATCTTCCATACGCTGAATAAATCAAACGAAAAGAATAGTTCTACAAAGCTGAAGTCAAGGAAGAGACTGTATCCAGACAGGATTAACCCTAGAGTTTACCATCGTTAAATTTTATTGACCGTTAGAGTTTACACAATAGATTACACACAATAGATTACAGCATATTATGCTCTTTGCAGCGCATCGAAAAATTCATGGAGACTCCAGTCCGCAGACATTACAATACCCAGTGGACGAGCAGTCCTCATTCCCCTCAAGAACATTAATGAAGAATGAAAACTTAACTAACAAGACCTAACCTTGCCCGTTAGCTAATCATCCTAATCCAGATTGTATAACTATGAGCCATGCATAAAAATTTTAGGAACGGTAGTTACAGGGGCCAAAAATAAAGAGAATCATATAATCGAGCCATCTCCGACAAAATAATCCTCTAAGTCAATAGTTTCGATGATTTGGAAAGCTCTTACACAAAAAAATTCAGCTGCACGAAAAATCCACTTTAATCCCAGCGTTGAGGCCGTTGTCTCTCTCACCTGAAACCTCATTTTCATGGACCCTGACTAAACCATCAAGTAACTCCTTTGCATGAGAAGGCCCACTTACCTTATTTTATTTCTGCATTATCTAAAAACTTGATAAACTTATCACGATGACTCACAGCTTTTGTTACGTTATGAGCGCCGGAAAATATATCGTCAAATAAAATCTGCGGAACACAATCATTTAAAATTTTACGTATGCTGTGATAACGAACGCAATAGAATATGATACGTATAACGTAAATATGATAGAAACGAGAACAAACACATAAGCTTCTGCTTAGTACGTAGATATTTTCATTTACTTAATATAGTGTACAAACGTCCATAAGTTTACAATAAATGTTGCCCTAAGGGAAGTGAAAGCCACACGTCTATAAGTTCTTCAGCATTAAAATGTGCGCAGGCTGTAAAGATGACCGCAATGTCAAATATAGTGGCTTGGTCTTGCCTTTCATCTTTGTTGTAAAACGGCACTTGACGTTTGTGTCATGTGAAGCAAGGGTCGACAAGACGACCTCTCCCAACAAACCAGAAAATGAAAGAAAAAGCATGCAATGTCAACCAGCGATCTAAATACCCGTTTGCAATCGGCTTTAGTAACAAG